CACTAAAGAATAATAGCTCTGTATATATAAATTACGTATGTTCTACAGACCTGTCATAAAATGCTGTTCTGTAGCTATAGCTTGTATTAAGGATTCAGCCAGTACAGTGGTATAAAACATATTATATCCAAGGAAAAAAATGAAAACATAAGACTAAAACTTGATGCAGTTATCTGTTTAGCAGAGTTCTACTTCTTCTGTGGGACTGAATCTAACTGCAGAAAGCTATCAGACGGAGTAGTTTTGCTGTATTCTCTTTTATATCCTTCAAAGATAATTAAAGAAACATCTTTCCTTTTTTTATGACATGCTACTGTCCTTTCCAGTGGATTCTACAGCAAAGTTTAGAATTATTTAACTTCTGAAAACTTTAACAACAGGCAAGGAGATACCACAGATGGAATATGGTGGTGTTAGAATGAGGATGCTGACAATGCAGGAATATTGAAATCATGTATACCAACAAAGACAAGGCAACTCACACTGACTGTGCAGCTCCAATAGATGAAATTTTAGACTGCTATATTCAGAATAAGAGTTTATGCTTTCTCCATAATTACGGGCAACTTCAACATTTTTGGAATTCAAGGCTTTCTCTAAATCTCTGCTTTGGAGGTATTGCCTTGCCGTCTAAACCAGATGTCATGCTGATTCTCAAATGTGAACACAAAGGCACTAGTTAATTGTATCCTCTGGTTTGTTGTTTTTTTTTTCTGTCAAACTGAAGCCAACCCACAATATTGCATGCTGCTCCTCAAATGAAATAAGCTCATGCATCTTGCATCACAATTCACAGGGAGTAAGTGGATATCCTAAGAAAGATATACATGTGATTACACTAGTTGATCAGCAATAAGGTTGAGGTATAGTGGCATAATGATGAACTATGGCACACTGAGCAACACAGAATTATTTCACTTTGCTGTCTCCCACTGTTTTTTAATTGCTGAATGCTGAGTTACCTTGTTTTTGTCAGGTAACTGTTCACTCTTGCCAGTCTGTAAAGAGAAGATACAGAATAGCTTTTGTGAGGGTTTTCTTTTTCTCAGGAAAAAAATACAGTGTAAAGCAGTACAGACTTTTCTGTGACCAGGTTCTTGGATTACACTCAAGAAAAGGAGTACAAGGTTTCTGGTTTAGTGCTATTTGGATTATGGCACGATAAAAATGAATTAAAAAAAAACCCAACAAAACAGAGTCAGTGAAATAATTATACCACGAGTGCAGGATTCAGCACTCCCTCCGTTCTGAGCATGCTCCTTAGATTTACTGTAAAATCTTGAGAGAACCCCCCCAGTTACGTACTGTGTTTTTAAACCTATATAATAAGGTTAATACTTTTACTACAGGAGTTTAGAAATTAATTGACATAAAAGATTCCAAAATTCAGAGTTTTACTGGGAATGATAACATATGAACTTATAGCCAGTTGAAGACTTTTTAATCTATTTCTATTAGAAATCTTCTGGCATACTGTCCCACTTTCACTGGGCTCTTCTCACTCTCACACTAATATGTTTAAAAATCTCAAGTATATCTCTATACTTTTTGTTTCTCTGCTTCTGTAGAGATGAAAGTACAGTTCATATGAGACCTCTATTCGTTCTAAATTTTCTCTACTTGTATCCTTCAGACTTCTGACATGCATTCTTTCACTCTTAAATGAAGCAACATTGGTTTTAAATGTGACTGACATAAGTGAACACTGAGTGTGTATGTTTATTCATATTCCACTCAAGATCTACTGGAAAAATGCTGCCTTGATCCCTAAGAATCAAAAAATTCCCACTAGATTAAAAAGTAAAAGCTCACAAAGAGAGCGAGTTAAGAAAAGGTGCAACTACTTCCAGACGTGGCCTAGAAGAGTTAAAAAAACCACCACCTATTTTTTGGTCTCACTAATACATGAAGAGAGAACTGTAAGACATTGCCCATGAAGCAAGTTGAAAAGAAAATAGGAGTGTATTTTAAGTGCAAGGCAATCTACAAAGAAGAAAAATGGTCTGTATGTATCACTTTCTTGACATTGAAGTATTACAGACCAAATTCTTCCTTTTTACATTAGAAGTTCATGTCTTATTTGTCTTGGAGATCTCTTTAGAGAACTGGTGAGAATATTCAATTCCTCAACTTTCAGTCTTGTTTAAAACACCTTTCACCTCCAACAATCCGGGCACTATTTAACCACAGTGACTTGAGATTTGGAGGAAATGGTGATTCTAACGAGTGACAACCAGGCATCTTCAGTTAGGCTGGCAGGCTGAAAAAATCCTGCTTGCAATCTGCAAGCCTGTAATTTTCTGTTTTCTTTGCTGGTGCTACTTAGACTTTCTGTATCAGCACAATTAAACAAATGAGAGGGTATTGCACATTAAAAATGCTACAGTCATTTATCTTCTGACCAGAAGTAATAAAATTAATTAAACACCTTTTTTAGAAAGTGAATGCTATTAAATATGTATTAGCAGTATCACAACATTCTACTAACTTGGAAGAGCAATGGAAATGTCACAGTACTGTTCTGTTTCTTTCTCTCAGATGATTTACTGTCATTGCTCCATAAATGGCTGCTTGCTGCTGCTGCTTCTCCTTCCGAGCAGCAACAAGGGCCAAACATTTACTGGCAAAGCACAATCACTTTATGGAAGAAGGGATAAAATGGTTGCTTGCAACACTAGGGTACACTATAAGGTATAGGGGAAATTAAGCTGCCTTGACTTACAAATGCCAGCCTAGCTGGGCTTCCAAAATGGGGGGTGCTGTTAGCCCTCTCTCACTAGTGCTATGGACTTACAAGGAATTATAATAAAGACAGTCTTGTCAGTACATGGTGGAATTGAAAGAGTAAAAACAAAAGCCTTAGTGGTGAAAATGAGCAATAATGGCTATTGTTTTGGTCAAAGAGGGCAATGCAAACTACTTGAAGAGTTTATTATTACCAACAGCAAGGCAGTCCTTATTCCTGTTGACGTTAAAACTGGCTGAATACATCTGGGTAGAGTAACTTTTTATACCTATAAGCTTGCTTTTTTTCAGTCTGTGTCGCTTTCTTCTAAGTGTTGGCTTTGAATTCTAGGTGACCAAAGATGTGAATGCTTTGCAAAATTTTAAATGGTGAGTTCTAATTTTAGCAAATGTCTTTAAGGTTGGCACTGAAAGATCAGTGCTGTTCTTCCTCTTGTTTAGGAAAATTGCAAGTTCATGATAGGGCCTTGTTCACAGAAAGATCCACATCTGCAACTGCAGAGAAAAGCACTTGCAGTTCTCTGCAAAATACTGTTTTGGTAAAGGAGTGATGAAATTTTCTGAGAATTTGGGTTGCTAGTTACCTGGCACCAGGGAAATTCTGAATCATCTATTGCCTTCTGGAAGAAATAATCACCTCAAAATGGTTACACTCCTGCCTTTCCCCGAGAAGCAAACTTCTGGTTACGACCTCATGACTTAGCTATGCACCAGTAATCATATATAGCATGATCGTGCAGTTGACATCTCCTTGTGCTTTGTCAGCAATGACAGCTTCTCATCAGCTCAGCTCCTCCAACCCTCCCATCTGGCATGTGGAAAAACTTTCCATTGAGGTAACTAACACTGGCTGGGCAGGTGATGAACCAAGACCATTCCTGTATATGGACAGCTTCTTGTATATGGACAGCTTCCTCTAATTTAATTCTGCTTCATTTGCTTGCTGCTGACTGTTGTACTCTAATGTTGAATTCACAAGGTGAGGATTGTCACTTGTTTCGAGACCAGGATGTAACCTTCAGGTTGTGTAAGGTCACCTCAGGGGTGACCTTATCACTGTCAACAACTGTCTGGAAGGAGGTTGTACCTACCAGGGGGTCGACTTCTTCTCCCAGGTAACTAGTGATAGAACAAGACTGCACAGTCTTAAGCTGCGCCAGGGTAAGTTTAGGTTGGACATTAGAAAGAATTTGTTCACAGAAAGCGTGATTAGACATTGGAATAGGCTGCCCAGGGAGATGGTGGAGTCACCATCCCTGGAGGTGTTTAAGGAACGACTCTATGTGGCACTTAGTGCCATCATCTAGTTCACATGGTGATGTTCAGTCACAGGTTGGACTCGATAGTCTCAGAGGTCTTTTCCAACCTAATCGATTCTGTGGGTTTTTTGTGATTCTTGGTATTTGTTTAGCTCTGCATGGCACTTTCATAATGCAAATATGCCTGCACAGAGTGATGCTTTTAACCAAAAAATCCCTGAGAGGCCGAGACATAATGTTAAGAGGCTTGAATGTTTCTGCGATCTCAAAATACTTGGCATGAAATCTGAACCTCACAGCAACGCCGTGTTTTGTCTAAAAATCTGCTTGGGGCTGAAGGGGCATAGCCTTGCTGTGGCATCGGATCATAAAGACACAGCAATACGCCTGGGTTGTATCTGAGCGCAAACGCTGTATTTCCCCCTATATTCCTATGAACGGTCGGTTTATTTAGCAGCATCTGGCTCTAGTGCGCCCCTGAGAATTCCCGTTTCCAACATGGACCCGCCGCGCCACAGCCCCCGGGCCGGGATCGGCCCCGCCCCACCCGCGGCACGGCGGGGCCGTCCGACCAATCAGAGGGCAACAGCCTGCAGGGGGACGGGGCCAAGCCGTGAGTGGCAGCTGGCGAGATAAACAAGTTGCTGCACTATTCAGCGCCCCACAGCATGGGGTCCGTGTCCTCCGTCCCTTCCTGCCATTCAGAGGCGCCGCGTCCGGCCGCGGTCGCCGCTCCCGCCTCTGATCGCAATGTGAAGAGTCAGCAAGTTCCCGGCGGCTGCTGAAACGCTCCGCTGTCTCCGGGGAGGGCAGTGCGCCGACGCTGCCCGCCCGATGCCTCCCGGGGCATGCCGGGAGTTGTAGTTCTGGCGCCGCGACGTTCCCGCCCGCGGCGGCGGGGCAGGCTCCCGCAGCCGCACTACGACTCCCGGCAGCCCTCGCGCCGCGCCGCGAGGAGCCCAGTTGAAGCGGGTGGCGGCGGCGGAGCGCGCCCCCCCCCCCCCCCCCCCCCCCCCCGCTGAAAAGCCCCAAACCAAAACAAAAACAAACCGCCCCCCGTCCCCCCCGCCCGCCGCCCCCGCCGAGCCTCGGACATGGCGGCGCCGGGAGGGGGCTTCGCCAGCCGCGGGTGCTGATCGGGTCGCCGCGTCCCCCTGCCCGCCCGTCCCTCCCCGCCCATGGGCGAGACATGGACTACGAGTTCAAGTCGAAGCTCGCGGCCGAGCGCGAGCGGGTGGAGGACCTGTTCGAGTACGAGGGATGCAAGGTGGGCAGAGGCACCTACGGGCACGTCTACAAGGCCCGCCGCAAGGACGGGTAAGGGCCGCGCCGAGTACCCTCTTCCTTTCCCCCTTCTCCCCCCCGCGCCGGCGCCCTCCCCTCCTCTCCCTCCCTCTCCGGAAAGTTTGTGGCAGCGCGGGGGCTGGAGCGCGGAGCCTGCCCGGCCGTCCTCCGCCCGCGCCGGGAGCGGGCCCTGGTGCTCCGGCCCCGGGGGTCGGTGCTCAGCTGCTCGGAATCACAGAGTCAGTTAGGTTGGAAAAGACGTCTGAGATCATCGAGTCCAACCTATGACCGAACACCACCTTGTCAACTAGACCACGGTACTGAGTGTCATGTCCAGTCTTTCCTTAAACATCTCTGGGGACCGTGACTACACCACCTCTCAGGGCAGTCCATTCCGATGTCTAATCGCGCTTCCTGTGAAGAAATTATTCTGAATGTCCAAACTAAACCTCGTCCTGCTCTGTCCCCGCTCCCACCCTCCGTCCCTGGTGGTGCGGTGACAGCTGGCTGTGCCCTGCGGTCGCCTTTGGGTTTTCACGCCGTGTTTCAGGTCTCTGCCTTTCATCTTTTGTGTGACCGCGTTCGTGCTTTGACGTTCTGCTTCGAGAACTCGCTGGGGATTTGGAAGCGAGCAAGTTTGATGCAAGGAGCACCTGGCTACCGACTGCCGCTCCCCGGATGCTCCCGCCGGAGCGGCCCGGGAAGCTCCCGGGGCGTGTGTTGGTTCCTGGTCTGGTCCCAGCCGCCGGTACCCCGCTGAAGCCAAAGCCGGACAGGCTTGGCTTGATGGCGTGTCTGGGCCACTCCTTGCCGGCAGAACTGGCAGCTTCTCCCCAGTAACCTACACACAGGTGTGTGGGAGGTGTGTCTCCGTCAGTTTCCCATGAGAGAGCACGATACACCTGTCCCCAAACACCTGGCTGGTGGCGAGATCTAAAGAGATCATTTAGCCATTAAGTCCACATATGTTGACTAAGCAAGGGTTCCTTCCCTTCCCTGGGGAAGAGAGAGCTGGCACCATGGGGTAGATATTGCATGGATGCACTTCCAAGTACTGTGGTTGAGAAAGCGATGAGGAGCTCAGATTACAATTTGGGATTGCTTGGCTGGTGTGCAGTTGTTGAAGGAGAGCAGTCCTGAGGTTGAGCAAGGCTCTTGCCCAGGTATGGGTTCCAAATACAACCCTTTGCTTTCAGAAGAGCCATTAAGCCCTTTTTCACTCTGCAGTGTGACTAGTGCACAAACACAGGCTGCGTTTGCAGAAGTGTTCTGAACATACTGTAAAGTTCAATAAAATGTACTTGCAAATTAGAGGTGATCCCTTTCTATCAGAAAGCTAAAGGCTAAAGCCTTCCATTATAGCCAGCTGAAACTTTGAAAAAGAAGAGACTGAATGTGGAAAAATGACAACTTTTAAATAAAATTTTGTAATTGGTTAATGGAACGCTGCTGCTTTAGGTTAGTAGAGAAGTTCAGGGATTTTTCTGTGGGAGTAAATTGCATTCATGTGCGACTTGACAATTTAACTCTGACTTAAGAGGCTGTAGTATCAAAGTGATTAATAACTGAAAGGTAGCACACTAATTCTAGTGGAGGATTAAATACCAGGAAATGAGCTCTGATTCTTGCTCTGCAACCTTAGGAATAACCTTAGCTAACTTGAAAAGGAAATATTAAAGCTTTTCCAGGTATTACAGCTGCCACTGAACTCTTCCAATATTTTTGGGTTAAGTGGTCATGGTTTTCTCTATTTTTTAAAGTTTTAATTAATTTATTATCTATATATATGAGGTATATGAAAGGAAGCCATAATAAAAACACCAAAAATGCTAGTTAACTGTTTTTTGCTGTTCTTTGGTATAGTAATCCTAGAATTACTCCTTTTAAGAACAGCATAAAAAAGGCAGAGCTGTGGGTTTACTGTTTTATGAAAAAAAAAAAAGAACTTTGATGTCTGTTTCTAACTTACCGGTTTGATTTCCATCATGTGCAATGGAAAACCATCGCAGGAATTATGTGGGTGCTACAAGGCACCGTAGAGGACATGTCTTCAAGATGCCTACAATAGCAATAGTATTACAAATGCAAATGGATGGTAGTAAAGCAGAAGTAAACATGATAAAAAGATAGCTTATGTGTCAGAGCTGGGAGTAATCAAAGGGAGACCTTGAGCCATTAAGAAAGGTAACTTGTAAACGGAAGTGCAAAGTTTCAGTGCTGTCAGATAGATTGATATGTAATATAATATGGCACACGTGCAACTGTACTCATTAAACACTCACTAAAGTAAAAAATGGAGCTTTACTTCATGGAGCTTGGAAACTGGCTTATTCTTTTTGTTTGTTTGTTTGTTTTGTTTTCATGTTTATGGCATTAGTGAGTTCACTCTTAGTTGCTTTTGTGTAACTTTAGGACCTTGGATGAAAGTAGGATGTGAACAAGTTAGAAAAAAAAAATAGAAAACAACCAGAATCATGAAGATAAGATTATTTCCTTATGTAAATACCTAGCTAAAGTATATCTGTGAGTTGGGGGATATTTAGCATTAGTTCTTAACTTTAAGAGGTCTTTAATGACACGGAGAAACTTCTTCCACCGTTGGCAACAGAAACCTAGCAGTGGTGCATACTTATTGTGTGCTGATCACTGAGGCATTTTGAGCCTCGTGTAAAGAAATTCTTCTATGGCTGGTCATAGAGGCTGTTTCAGTATTTCCAATTTGCAAGGCAGTCCTGTATAAAAGGAAGAGATTCTGGCTACTTAATTCATATAGTCAATTTACAGTCTCGGGGGCCTGAGGATAATAAAACCCTTGTAGCTCTGCAGAAATTCCACTGAGAGCCTGTCACTTCACATTTCAAAAACTTGGCCTATAAAGTTTATGAAATAGTAAAATGTGTTTACATGGAGCTTGGCAAGCTGTTTGATAAAATGCTTGTAAAAAAAAGTGGTTGCATTGCTTAGATTTCCATTAATGGTTTGGGCATAAAGCTGTTTTATGACAAAGTAACAGCTTAGTTTGGCTTTTTCAGCCTCGAGTAGAATATCATTTGGGCACGTTTCTAGTGAGCTGACTGATTTCTATGAAAGTTAAGATTTTTTTTTTTTTCAAATAGACAGATTTGAACAATGTTGGTGTGACATTTCCATGCACTGCAGGAACAAGTTTTTAAAGACATTGAGGACCTGCAGCTTCTATTTACTTCAGTAGTGTTTGTGTGGTTTGATGAGGTCTAGAGGTACTACCTGTGTTATACATTTAGCTAAATTAGGCACCTAGGTTTATGAAGCTTTCATTAATATCTTTGTAGTCTGGAAGGGGTAGGAAATAGGTATTTATATAAGCTGTCTAATGGTTTATTTCAGTGTACGCTAGAACTGGACCAGTGGCTTTGAGGGTGTAAATTGTGATATAACACCCATGATTGCAATTCTGTTGTCAGTGTCAAGTTCTTAGCTCTTTTTTTGGACATATCCATGTCTGCCTGGTAAAACAAAGAATGCAGTTTTTCCAGTTATGATTAGGAAAGTGTGGTTTTGTTTCATGCCTTACCTCTCCTTGTTATGTTCCTTGCCACTTCTTTGGTCACAGTTTAAGCTACAGTGTTGTTTGTAGTTATTTTCACTTCCTGTATCTCCTTTGCATACAAGGGGCAATTTTGAAGATGAAGTGAGGTTTGGAAATTCTGCAGTTTGTTGTATATGCCTGAATTATTTCATTTTACTCTTTCAGAATGATCAATCTTTAGGTCCAGGCTACTACAAAGTATTTCTGTTCCTACACCAGGATGTCAATTCACCTGCAGGAGGATATATGCATGAGTCAGCAAGCTTAAAAGATACCACTGTTGGTTCGTCAGGAGTGCAAAGAATAGTGGGATGCATGAGTCAAGTAGAAAATAGGCCACTCTGTTCCTCGTTCTATAGCAGCGACAGGAGATGCAACACTTGCAAAAGCTGAAATCTTCATGTGAATAAAACCGTTCTAGTTATTGCTGCTTCTGCTTACCTTTAAACAAACTGTTGAGCTGGCTGCTTTCTCTCAATCTATGGTTATTTTATTTTTCTTTGACTTGCTTCCTGGGTTTGGGCAACAGAGGTTATTAAAAATATTACTTGTATGGTATATATACTTATATACTTGGAAAGAAAAAAAATATTTGTAATTTTATTTTAATCTGTACATTTCAAAACACCTTTCAAAAAGCAAGTATGTGCTTTTTAATCTTGTTATGGAGGGAATGATAGAAATATGGAGTGATCAGCTTTCAGAACGATGGCAGCAGAAGGGGCAGGATTTTTACCCTGGGCAGTTCCCAGGCTCACCCCCTGCTCCGTAGCTGGTGCTGCCCTGGTAGACCCTTTTGCCATGTTACTCTTTGGCAAGTATGAAAGGTTCAGCACTACCCTGTACTGTACAATGTATCAGCTGAACAAAGTGCATAGATTTAAATGCTACTGTAATGATATACTTTAAAAAAAAAGAAGAGAAAAAGAAAGCCACTGTTTGTAACTTGGCAGGTTATTTTATTATTTGACAGTTACAGGTACATTAACAATACAGTTGGTATAAAACAGGCTTCACTTTGGCTGCCTAATATGGAATTCCCTTTTGGAAACTGGGTAACAGTGACTCAAGTCCAAAAATGTGGCATACAGGCATAGGAAGGGGAAGACAAATGAAATATTCTTTCCCTCCTCTCTGCCCTATTTTTCAGTACTGGAAGTTGGTAACTGAGGAGGAGAGTCTGTTTTCCTCCTTGGAGTGATACTGGTGTGCAGTGTCATTGATGTAAAGTTCTTAACTTACAGCTTCCAAGTCCACATAAAAGTCGAGTGCCCCATTTTTGACAGTGTTCAAGGTCAGGTTGGATGGGGCTTTGAGCCCTGGTCTAGTGAAAGGTGTCTCTGCACATGGCAGGGCAGTGGGAACTAGATATTTAAAATTCCTTCCTACCCAAACTGTTCATTGAAAAGCAGGGCATCGGAAGAGAAAGAATGATGAATTACATAGCCAAGGCAAGTATATAATC